CGTACAACATTGAAGTTGCAGGTTTAGCCGCCTTACAACATTGTGTAGAAGGCCTGAGGTTTTTCGTCGTTTAGATGCCGAGATCGTTCTGTATTTCTGCTTCTTGGAGTGGGATTCTGCTCAGACAGTAGGATCGCACATCAGGGACTGGATTTCGATTTCCCAGACGCAGCAGAATGCATTCGTTCGAATTGAAGGACAGGATCCATCTATGTGACCAATCGTTTAACCGACAAGGATCTTCCTTGAAGTCATCCCTGTCGGCAGCATTCTTGATGGCCTTCCACAATTTTACATCATCCGTAAACATGGCACTCGCACAGTCCAAGTCCTGTACACAATCATTAACGAACAAGAACAAGAGGGTCGGTCCGAGTATTGAAACTTGAGGGACTCCGCTCTCGATGAGTGTCGGCCTTGATGGTTTTCGTCCAATACAAAAGTTTGGGAACAACCAGCGAGGAAATGATCAATTCACGTAAGAAGTTTGCCATCAATTCCAAATTTTGCAGGAGAAGTTGGTATGAACGCTGTTGAACGCCTTCCGGAAATCAATGTAGGCCGCAGGTACGATGTCTTTTGCATTTGTTGCCCTTTTTCAGCTTTGCGTCGTATAAAGCAAGTTTGAAACACACGACCTACCCCTACGAAAGCCATATTGCGCATTGCACAAGAGACTGCAAGTTTCGCAATGTCATCAATGTCTTATTGATAATCTTTTGGATTAGCTTGCAGCATATGGAGGTCAGACTGACAGGTCTGTAGGTGTTCGCAACTGCAAGACCTCCGCTTTTATAAAGCGGTGTAATGTGCGTTGTTTTCCAATCTGGGAGGGATTACAGTATCAAAAAATTGCTGGCACGCCATGGATAGCAGTTTAGTCAGTTCTCTATCAAGATCATGGAGCAATTTCGCAGGAATCTCATCTGGACCAGGAGATTTACACCCCTCAAGCTGTTTAGTTCTAGAAAAATCGTTTCTTCTTCAAAGAGAATGTCCTCGATATTTGATGCTCCCACGATCTCGTCACTAGTTGTGAATCAGGCAGTTTCTGTAGTGAATACCAACCGAAAGATCTCAGAAAAATGTTCGCCTTTAAGATTGCGATATCTCGAGACCTTCATCATTTTTCATACCAGGAATCGGGTTCCTGTTACGTGTGCTTTTCTTAAAGTAGCTGTATGACAACTTTGGATATTTGACGGCTCGATGAAGCAAATCACTCTCAAAGTCCCATCTTCTTTTGAAAACCAACTTTTTTACCTTGTTGCGCTGGATTTTGTATTCTTCGAAAGCTTCTTCTGGAAATAAAGTTAAAACTTGCAATGACGAGGCCCTTCGGGCCTAAAATATAAAATTTATTCATTTTTTTTTTATTTATTACTGTACCAAATGTATGTTCTATCATCCCAGAATACTGCTGTCCCCTCTTTGGTCTAATGAATGCTTCTGACCGCCTTACTGCTGTCCCCTCTTTGGTCTAATGAATGCCTCTGACCGCGGTAAGGTTGATAATGTTCAGAGATTGTTTGCTCGAAATATATTTGTTCTTCCTCGATCCACTTTTTTCTTATACGGAGAGATGCCAGTTAGCGAAAATGACATTTCTTTCGGTTAGACGGCTCTGCTTCCTATTGCGCGTTAACTGTAGCCCTAACCTCCCACGGATCAACGCTCTTACTCCGGCAGATAGACCTTACGCCACTCATGATTCCTCCATGATAATTGCACCCCCTTTAGCTCCACGTCTAACCATTCTCGTTTTTTTCCTCCAACTATGCATTCCTCTGGAATAATATTCCCCCCAAAATTAGGCCCTTGTCTAACTTAGCCGTTTTTAAAGCCAAATTACGTAAACATTTAACCTCGGAAGATTCAAAGTCCTTGTTATCCGTCTCCTTCCCAAATACACAACTTTTGGACTTTTAAAAGGGTCCTCCTGGTATTTGAAGCGGTTCTATGCATATAAAATTATTGTCCATACATGTCTATTTCGTCCACTTTTTAGTGATATTTGCAGCAGTATTTTTTCCCCTACTCTGTACAGTCAATATTGCCATTCTCCGTTTTACAACCCCAACGATGGGCTTCACGGTCTCTGGTCATACTCGTGGCGGTTCTTCTACTTTCGCCAGCTCGTCGCTGGACTCTGCATTCCACAAGGTCGTATTTCCTGCGTTTCGGTGATGATCTCGTGACCTTTACCCTCCCTCACCCCTTTGATCCTGTTGTCCGTAATGACCTCCTCTTGTCTCACCTCCCTGATGGTTGATCGTGTAGCCAGTCAGGCAGTGTTACGGTGGGGAAGGGCAGCCTCTGCTGCTATATGATTTCTCCAACGACAAGAAGCGTTTCTAACCCTCATACGTTCTCATTAACAGTCCTGTCCCATTGTTTCACAACAGTCCTATCAACCAACCTCTTAATTTTCATAGAAGCAGTTTTTTCTCCTACGTTTTTTTAAAGTGGGTGTCCGCTTTACTCTGCCTCCCGCTTTAATGGTAGGAGTTTTTTTTGCCGCTTCCTCCTTAGTTCACCATACTTTTCAGAGAGTGTTGACTATTATTTTAAAATGACGATATGTTGGCGGATATGAAATTGTCTGCCTACCATACTAAACACTCCCGCTACCTATGTGGTTGCTCACAAAGAGCAGCATTTATTCACTTTGAATTTATTTTGACCACAGCACTACGTTTGCAATGACGAGGCCCTCCGGGCCTAAAAATATAAAATGCGTTTATTTACTTCGTTATGGTTTGTTCGAAAAAAACTTCTTCCAAAACTTTCCTTTCTTATTGATCACGCCTTTTAGATCGATTATCAGCCACTGAGGTCGATTAGATATTTTCGACACTGAAAGTGGATAATGACTTTGCACTTGATGTAAAAACCACCCCCTGAATTAATTTCAGTCCCCGTTGACATCTCCGAAGGAAAGAAAACCCAAGTCTATTTGCGATGCCTCTACTCTCATTTGAGAGTAGTAGCCTCGCCATATATTCGGCCTTGGTTCGTTTATTGCAGGCGGTACAGAATATAGACGATAATCCCGCGAAAGTACAGCGTGATCATTTCGAACAAGTGGTGGCAGGTAGCATACCTCGTCTATAATTTCAGGATGCTTGGGGAAAACTAGGTCTAAACAACTAACCTGCTGCCTTCCACGTGCTCTAGTTGGAACGAGGACGCGTTGTGTGAGAACAGCCTCAAGTCTCGTTTTGAGCAGATGGTATTAGAAGGCGTTTCTAGAGCAATTCATCCACAAATCGTTCTAACTGATGCTGGGTGCATTGAAGTTACCCATGAGTATGGCATCAGGTCGACTGCCTATCTTCTCTATGCACTCCAATAAACACACATCTGCATCAGTGTCTGTCCGCGGCGGTCGGTGGACGGTCACTGCTTCTAGAGGCTGCGATCCATGTGCCTTAATTGTCAACCAAATTACCTCTTTATCATCGGTTATCTTTTCAGTCCTCTCGCACACACGTAAGTCGCTCTTTACATACATAGCAACTCCCCCACCCTGACGTTCAACCCGGTCTCGCCTAAATAATTGGTATCCGGATAGCGCTACTTCGGTATCACTGATGCCCTATGGCAGCCATGTTTCTATTATTTCTATGAATTCAGGGGACAGATCGGCTACCTGTATTCGAAATTAATCGAACTTGGAGTATAGACTCTAGCATTGCTATACAAACATTTTGTTTGGCGACATTCCGCATTGTCTAGTTTGTTTGGGCGCGAGTTTGCTCATGCTACTGTACCACAGCCATCATAGGTATTGGTTGCTTCCAGAGCAATATCATCGATTTCTGTATTATTCGTCCCCTGAAGGTAGCGAGATTGCTCTCTTCAGCTGTTAATCTCTCCTTCAGTTCTGCCACTAATTCTCGGCGTTTCAGACGCTCCGCGGGAGAGTAGTCCGGCTGAAAAACACCGTCTTATGTGAGTGGCGTAGGGCGGTTTTCCGGGACAGAACCAAATTTAATTCTTCTTTGTTGTCCAAAACTATCTTGATAGGTTGAGGTCGGACAGTTTTCGATATTTTATTAACCTTTTTGCCTATCCCGAACCCTACGCGAACTTCCGCTGTCTCTCTTTGTCGGAGCATGTCGTCTAGCAGCTTCCGAGACTTTTGGAATTTGGAATTTATATTTTTCAGCGCCGGTACGGCACTATCTGTA